GACGTTCACAACATTCGCTTAAGAAATGAAAATCAGTTATTTTGTACATTCAACCGTTTGGCTCCGAGTCTTGTATTANAAAAAAAGTTGTCATCTTTATAACTGAAAAGAGAACGTAAGTTGACAAAAGTGCTTACCTGAATTCAGTGAAGTCTTTCCTAAGTTGCTCAATGCATTTTTGAAGAAACTGTGAAATTGTATTGCCTTTTTTCATCTGACGATAAGAAATAGCAGAAATATTATCTAACATCTTCATTCCATGACGTTCACAACATTCGCTTAAGAAATGAAAATCAGTTATTTTGTACATTCAACCGTTTGGCTCCGAGTCTTGTATTATTCTAAATTTTGAAACTGTGAATGAAATCCTATAGTGTGACCATTCAAATGAAACCTCTTTAGCAGCACTTTTGCACAAAAGAAGAGGACAGCAAAATGTTTGTGTGTGACAAAAGCGACTTGATGATTACTTGTGCGTTTGTTTAACATTACCGTGTTTTGGTCGTTTATAAATAGTTCAGTTTATAGGAAGGTGTAGTTTGGAAGAAAAATTTTCCAAACAAAATAAAATTTTCACGATTGTCACACAGGGTTTACCCTTTCCTCTGCTCCCGGGGGAGGTGGGTACTCCCTTATATAAGCTATATAGGTATGTGCCGCCCCATCGGGTAGGGTTTTTGCGCCGTTTTGGTCTGACAACCGGTATACACTTTGCTCATTTTGGTCTGGAATCGGGTATGGTTTTCGAGGGAACTGCGGGAGTATATGAACGTATTTATCGTTTCAATTCCAAATGAGTAAGAAAGAAAGAGAAATATGCAAATTCGAAATGAATTTGAATAATTTTTTTGTTTGCACTCTAATCTAAGTAATGATAACATAATTTCTGCCTAAAGGCCAGGTCTGAAAACGGGTGAGCATTTTAGAGGTCTGGTCTGAAAACTGGTGTGGAAAATTACATTTTTTGGCGTGAAATAGGGTCAGGATTTGGAGAACCGGGCGGCAAACCCCCACCAGGAATTCCCAGGAGTACCCTCCACCTTTGCATGAGTTCACTACAAAAAAAAAATGAAACCTACTTCAAAATAATTCAGGGTTGTTAATCAGTGATGTCTTTTTTACCTTTAGTGTTCTTCTGTGTCCAGAACCATCCCAATAACTGTATGTAATTTCAACATCTTCATCTACAAAAACGCAACAAATTGTATGTAACTGATTAACTGAAATAATCAACGTTTACTACGACAAGAGTTACAAAACTTAAAAATTTTGGTATCAGAATTTTCTGCCAGGTCAGAAAGTTTTGATGATATCTGGGTGATGAAACTACATAAAAAGTGCTTACTTTTAATTTTCTCCTGCTTCTCAACCCATTCTTGTCGTATGTGTTCTCGCTCTTTTCTTTCCATCTCCTGTCTCAAAAAGAACCATAAGACCCATTAACTATGTAATCATTTATTTTGAAATATAACCATACCAGACAGCCTCATCTCCATATGCCACTGGATACCCATTTCCCTGTGAGAAAGAGTTGTACATTTGTAAATTACACAGTTGTAAGCCGCAGAATACAGAATAACCACCACTGGTAGGTAGAGTTTAAAAAGTGCACAGGAGCACTATCTCAATGCAAAGTAGAGTACAGGATGGCCAATGCAGAATTACACCTGTGTACAGGATTAATACCCTTATGTAAGACAGAGTTGTAGATGGGCACAGGACAGCCACTTCAAGGTAACTAGAGTTACATTAATTTTGTAGTGAGGCTGCAAGGTTATGTTTGTCAAAGCCATTAAACACCATTTAGCATTTCAGATTTCTTTTGAAAAATTAAAAGGGCACACATCTTTTATATAAATTTACAATCTCAAAAGTAGAAATATCATCTGGATGCTTACGTTTCCCTTGCTTAACCTAGAGACTATTTTTTTAATGTGTGAGCTTTTCAGAAATTAAAAGAAAACATAACCTTTAAAAGTATTTCACACTCTCACTTGTCATCATTACCTCTCTGTCTCTATCAGGCAAAAATGATGTATCTACATCTGGATTTTTTCCTGGCTTCTTCTTCTTTAAAGGGACAACTGCCAGAAAAAGAAAAAAATTAATGTTAACATCACCATTACCATTACCACCATTACATAAGGAAGGAAGCATTTTGAAATACATTGTTAAAGACAGGGTGATGGTAATTTATTGTGAAATCACCTTGGGCTGTTAACCCTTTTAAGTCCCAAGAGTGAGTAATGTCAATTTTCTCCTAATAATATCCATATGTATCATAATGAAGGCAAAAAGTTCATGAGAATTACTAAAATGATCAGCTGGGGAAAAATGTTTTGATCTTTAGTCCAATTTGTGCAACTAATTCTTGAGGGAAATGTATAGAGATCAATCTGGAGTTCTAATCTGTATGCGAATATAAGCAACAACTCTGTTAGCACTTGACTAAAAGCATTAACTTCTTGATTAAATTTAGGGGTAATACGTACAAAAGAACTAACATATGGTTCATTAACTTTGATGTGATAAGTAATGTATAAGAGAACTATCCATTTTGTTGTTACCAGGTACAACACTACCCAACACGACTTGCTACGGGGCAGATTGAGGTTTAAAGTAACTTTTTAAGCCAAGACAGAGAAGTCAAAAGAATTGAGAAAATGATGACATCAGATATATAATTTATTTGATACCATTAACTTTTTCCCTTTTTCTATACTACTATGAAACATATAGTGCCAAAAATTGACAATTTAAATTTCAATGTTCAGGATTAAAGGGTAACTTTTAAGAGAGAAAGATTACCAGGTTCAGAATCCTCATCGACCTCCTCATCGTCAAGGTTAAATGATAATGCAGATGAAGTCTTTGCTTTGATTTTCTTCTGCTTCTTTTTCTTACTTTCCCTTTATAAAATACACAAAAACGAAATAAGGCACAGATGAACAACCCTTATCATCTAGACCTAAATGATTAACACCAAATAATTTTTTAAAAAAGCTAGATTTCTTTCTCTTTTCTGACTAATGGAAACTACTTTGTGCAAGTTTAGGTGAACACAGGACACAACTCAATGGAGAGACTGTAATACTTCAGGCAAATTTGCCAGAGTTTACAAAGACTCATTGACTCTAAAATCTCTCCTCTCTGTATTCAAAGAATAACTTTGAGGAACATAGGGAATTCTTTTTTCATGGGAAAAGAAGGCTTAGGTAAAACAAAAAAGCCTATATTATAAACAAAAATTCTGGTATTCCATTATAATGCACATCTCAAAATGTTGCTCCAGATTAGCAACTCAGAGTTTAATTCAAAATTCACTCATCCTCGAGCCCTTGCTCACAAAGTGCACAATCCAAATATAAAAGAAGGATCCATTGCTTGAAGAGCAGACCAAGACAACACAGTTAGTATGTTAATTTTTCATATCTCGGAGCAAGTCTTAGGACACTTTCCATTTGTTAGAACTGGCCGGTTGGACCATTGCCGGACCAGTCAGCTTGCAAATGAAATCGGCTTTTTTCAAAGGGTTTTTGCAGAAAAACCATCTCCTTGGTGTATACTATTTACCATTTGACTGATCTGGCTGGATAGTTTTGATTTAAAGTGAAATTCTCAATATGACAGGGACGGTCTGGCCGGTCAGTTCTGACAATGGAAAGCATCCTTAGTTTTTAGAGTGAAAAAAGGCACAATCATGCCATGGAGAAGACCAGAGGCCCACTAACTATATAAATCAGTCTTACGAGTTGTGCTAACTATGACATATGATAACATGAAACAAAAGGAAATTGATTTCATACCCCTCTAGTTCTTCACTTTTCAGCTTTGCAGCTAACTGCTTTTCATGTTCCCTGACTAAGTCTTCTCGCTTGGCTTTCATTTCATCCAGGGTAACAAGACCTAATAATAACAACAATAAATCAAGTTGCTAAGCCTGCAAAGTTCGAAGCTTGTCCAATTGCATCACGTCCCACAAAGGTGCCTCAAGTTTGGCACACTTCAACCTGGACAAAAAAATTTGTCCGGACTCCTTGTCAAATTTATCAAGTGAGCTCTCTCTCCGTGAGATGGCCATCTTAGAGAGCTGTCTGTCTCACATAACTGTCTACTAAATGAGTGGTGACTTTATTTAAACTCTAAGGGCCCATTTTTGTATCTTTGAGGTTGTTGATAGGGAAAAGTTTTCAAGCTGAAACGTATAAACATGACTGCACATATATGTGACGAAATTTTAAAAGAGGAACAAAAAGGACACCCTCGTGCTTGAAAAAATCGAACACCTGTCATCAAGGTGCAAAAAATGTCTGCTAGCAAATATTTTTGTACCCAGGGAAATCAATCCAATGGCTATGTTCAAAAATTGTTCTGTGAAAAACTTAAGCACCAGCTTATTCCTGTGAAGGAGTATTTCTCAGCTGGAGTTTCATTTTAATATCATTATTGGCCACAAAATCAAGAAAACAAAACTTAAGCTAACTACAGAATCAGATACATTTCATTCATAAGTACCAAACAATCCCATGGGATGTCAAACCTAATCTTCAGCAAATAAGAACAAAAGTGTGTAAAACATATTGTGTCTGGACCAATCAGAAATACTTCCAGACTCTGGCTTTTTTTAACATGTTATCTGATAAATATATATGTTTTCTACCATCCTTCCCTTAAAAAAAACATAATACAGACATTGGGAGGGCATGATTGCAGGCTACCTAACACTTAACAAGCAACAATGGCATAGTTTTCAGACTACTAGATACCCAGTAGTCAGAATTTCCATTAGTCTCGCATGGAAAACTTTTATTGGAATCTACTGAGAGTTTTCAATAAGAGTACTGTCATGCTCAGGTAATGCCAAGGAAGGTATTTGTGGAAAAATGGTAAGAATTTCTGACTGCCAGTCATCTTGAGTCCTTGATTCGACTGAGTCCTTGATTAGAGATTTTAAAGAATTTGCTCAAGCTCAGAGAATCTGTCCACTACAATAATAATTC